GCCTTTGTAAAGAACAGAAAGAGAAATAACACTGAACACGAAAAGGAGGAGAGACGCAAGAGCACTGTAATCCCTTACGTTGCAGGCCTGTCGGAAAAACTCAAGAGGATCTTTGGCAAACACCATATTCCTGTTCATTTCAAGCCTGGTAACACACTAAGGCAGAAGTTAGTCCGTCTCAAGGACAAAACACCGAGACATAAACAGAGTAATGTGGTGTATGCTGTCCAGTGCAGCGAAGAATGCTGCGACCTGTACATTGGGGAAACTAAACAACCGCTTCACAAGCGCATGGCTCAACACAGGAGAGCCACTTCCTCAGGTCAGGACTCAGCTGTCCACCTTCACTTGAAGGATACGGGTCACTCTTTTGAGGACAGCAATGTACAGGTGTTGGCTCGAGAAGACAGATGGTTTGAAAGAGGAGTTAAAGAAGCCATCTTTACCAGGCTGGAGAAACCTTCTCTGAACAGAGGGGGTGGACTCAGGCACAATCTCTCTGGCACTTACAATGCAGTTCTCAGCTCTCTCCCCAGGAAGCTCCACAAACATTCACACCTGGAACCACATGACCCAGGTGGCATGAGTCATGTGGTCACATGACAGGAGTCGCTAACGACCCTTTCAGGTTAATGACTTGGGGGGGGGGGGGGGGACACACCCAGAGATGGGTTTCTACGACCCATTCTTTTCAACTCCACCCAGTCGTTATCTGTCCCCCTTCTCCAGCAAGATAAATATCTGCTCCTTACACTAGCAATATTTAGAACAGAAGAAGCTTCTTGGATAAGAGGCGAAACGTCTTCTCAACTCTATACAGTCCAGTTGCCTGTTTTAAGTCTTCAAGATTTCAGAGTGTAGAATATTTTTTAAAACGGTAGAGGGACTAGCGTCATTTTTCAGCAAGTCAACCAAATGCACTCACTTAATGGATGAAGTTGTAAAGCGGCATTTACCAAGAGCAGTGCCCACTAGATGGAGCTCAAATTCAAGGCTGGTGCAGTCAATAAGGATGTACCAAAGTGATCTGCATGAGTTATTCCGTATCATTAGCGAAGATCCTGACAATTGGGATAACGACACCCAAATGATGGCCGTTGGATATGATAAGTGGTTATCTAAAACATCAACATGCTTTTTGATCATGATTTATGAGGACATTTTCTGTCATACTAATTCCCTCTTTAGAACGCTGTAGAACAAAACAATGGACATTGGACATTGTTGTGCACAGATACGTGACACAATGGGAGTTATTGAGCGCTTGAGACAGGAGTTCGACATTTTCTATGATAAGTTTGAGCAGAGATGCAATGCACTGGGTCTGACAGATAATGAGAGAAGGCAAAGTAACCTGTCAATCAAAGATGAGAGAAAACAGACGTTTTTCAAAATTCTCAAAAATGTGAACAAATGGAAGCTAAGTTTGATCATTTTGGTGAACTGGCTTTCCTTGGATTGGTAGATTGTGCTAAATTTCAGGAAATGTCACAGCGCTTTGATGACACCAAACTGCAGAGCTTATCATCAAAGTATGCCAGGTTTTTTGACCTTGTCAGGCTAAAGTCTGATCTCATTGGACTGTATAGTTCACTACAGGTGAGGAGTGAATGCAAATCTCCAGGCCAGCTTCTCAACTTTTTAGCCCAGAAGGATCTGATCAGGACTGTTTCTGAAGCAACAAAGATACTCCAGCTGGTGCTAACTATACCTGCAACGTCGGTGTCTGTGGAAAGGTCGTTTTCTACATTGAAAAGAATCAAAACATACAGTCGGAATAGGACTGACCAAGGACAACTTTCTTCCCTGGCAATTACCTCAATTGAGAAAGAGAGACTTTTAAAACTCAAAGAAAAAGAGCAAAAGGAGGAGTTCTACAACGAAGTCATGTAGATCTTCGTCCTGAAGGACAGGCGAATGGACTTCATTTGGACTTCAACAGCAACTATGGATCCTGCACTATGGTGGACAATCTGTTTGTTCTGGGGACTTTTAAAGATTTATTTCATTCAAGGATTCAACGACAACGCTGCTGGCGGCGCTGCCCGTGATATCCACTACTCCAGCAGGGAGACCCTCTTGCTGTTGCTCAGAATGCCTAAAAACTACAACTGCAGCAGCAACAAACGAAAAAACACGGCGAACGAAGCGCAAACGCGGATGCAAAAGTGGCATCCATCAATGGCTAAAAAAGCTGAAAAATAAACTTCCACTGCCTGTCACGCTGCTGATCAACGCGCAGTCTCTAAGAGCTAAAACAGATGAGCTGGCTGCCAATGTTCGCTACGTCCACGAGTATCAGAGTGCCTGTGTCTAAGCGGTCACTGAGACATGGTTTGACAGTAGCACTCCATCCAGTGCAGTGGAGCCAGCAGGCTTCTCGGCATTTCGAGCCGACCGAGACTCGAATGTCACCGAGAAGACACGAGGGGGCGGAGTCTGTCTTCTTGTAAGAGATGAATGGTGCCGGGTTGCCAAGGTGAGAGAGAAACTGTGCACCCCCGACATAGAACTGCTGTGTGTCTCACTCCGACCATATTATTTGCTAAGAGAGCTTCCTCAGATCTTTTTTACCCTGGTGTACATACACCCAAAGGCTGATTTTAATGAAGTCACTGGAATTATTTTTTACATTTCCCAAAAACTTGAGGCACTCTCCCCTGATGCGCCTAAGTTCATTCTTGGAGACTTTAATACCTGTCCTGCCAAAAAGTCCCTGCGCACCTACTATCAATATGGACTGTCACACCAGAAAGAAAAAGACACTGGACTTATGTTTTGGAACTGTTAAGAACGCATACACAGCAACTCCACTCCCTCCACTTGGAACATCTGACCATAATGTGGTCTATCTCTGCCCCACCTACTGGAGGCTGCTTGAGAGGGAGAAGCCCCAGGTCAAGACTCTTAAAGTGTGGGAAAATGAAAGCACCATGGCATTGCAGGGCTGTTTTGATTGTACTTTATGGGAAGTCTTTGAGACAACTGATATTAATGATCAGGTCGAGGCAGTGTCCGGCTACATCAATTTTTGTGTGGATTCTGTGTTGCCAAATAGGACATTCAAAGTTTATCCTAATGATAAGCCATGGTTTACCAGAAAACTAAAGAAACTAATTATACAGAAAAGGAAAGCAATAGAGATCAGGATGAACACACAAGGAAGGAACTACAAAGAGAAATTAAGAGACAGGTGCATGTGGACAAATACAATTATAAATTGAAGTTAGAGGCCTCCCTGACCTCTAGTAACTCCAGAGAGGCTTGGCAGGGAGTTAAAAAGATGACATGTATATCACACAAGGGTAGGGAGAAACCATCCTTCACCCTCAATGGGAGTGAGGAATATGAGATGGCAAACCAGCTCAACGCCTTCTTCTGCCATTTTAAGAGTGTAGAACCTGCAGATGAGGCCTCCACAGTTATCCCCCTCCCACCTCCCCCTCCATCAAGCATTAAAATTGAGGAATCTCAGGTCCTTCAGCTTTTCAGAGGCTGTAACACACGGAAAAGCCCAGGCCCAGATAATATTAGTGGTAATGTCTTAAAAAATTGTGAAGATCAATTAGCACCTGTGTTTACAGGCCTTTTTAAGTCCTCTATAATCTTCGAAACTGTCCCCACTCTTTGGAAAACTGCAGTCATCACACCAGTGCCAAAGACTTCAAATCCTAGTCAGCCTAGTGACTTTTCATCCTATAGCTCTGACATCACTGTAATTGTAATTTTAATGTCTTTGTTAAGAATTGCTTGAGGTGCCCCTCACAACAGACTTTCCAATCAACATATCAGTTAATCAGCATGTCTAGACATCAACAGACAACATCCTGCAGGATGCTTCATGTGTCACCACCACCCCAGGGGGGTGAAGTAACAGTCCCCACAGACAACAAAAGGTGCCAACACCTAAGCCCCATTCCTTGCCCTCTGGGAGGCGGTCCTAAGGTATAAATATTCTGTATTCCCCTAGATTCGGGGTCTTTTCTGATCTACCCGCTCGGATCTAGATCGACCTTTTCTTTGCAAAGAAAATAAAACCTTGTCGGCCGGCAGAAGTCTCTATTTCATTATTCACCAGCAGCAACGGAAGAGAAAAACTTCCACGACAATTTGGTGTCAGAAGTGGGATCCCTCGAGCAATCGTCTGGGCTGGAGCATGGACAGTGACAGGCCATCCTGGAAAAACAAAAGATTTCCAGCCTCCATACCTCAAATCCTCTTGTGAGAAGGGAGGACTGACCAAAACCGCCCTAGATCATTGCCGCTGGGATTCCACGAACAAAATTCAGCAAATTCATCTGGTGAGCACTGAAATATTGACTTTCCTTTTCTTTAAAAATTTGGGTTTTAATTAGGCGTGACATTTTTTCTCATGATCTCCATAACTTGGCGTGCTTTTCTCATTACTTGAAGCATAACGAAGTAATGTTATTTTTTCTAGGGCCGACAAGTGATAAATATTATTGCTTGTAGTAATTTTTATTGCTCGTAGTCCTTACAGAAAGTAATGCTTTTCCTGCTTGTAGCCTTTTCTTGGAAAAAAAACGAAGCAAGGGATGCTTTTTTCATTGCTTGTGGCCTTTCTTGGAGTAAAAAAACGAAGTAATGTTCTTTTTTTTAAACAGAAAAAAAAAAAAAAAAAAAAAACGAATTAATGTTCTTTTTTTAAACAGAAAAAAAAAAGAAAAAACGAAGCAAAGGATGTTTTTTTTCATTGCTTGTGGCCTTTCTTGGAGAAAAAAACGAAGTAATGTTCTTTTTTTAAACAGACAAGTAATTGTTTTCATTACCTGTACTCTTTAAAGAAATTAATGCTTTTTCCCACTTGTAGCCTTTCTTAAAACGAAGTGGGGGTAGGGGGTGCTTTTTCCACTTAGCATTTGAACAAAGTGATACGAAGCGCAGAGACGTCTGTGTGGAATTTGTCGCGACAAACCCATTAAATGGGGTGCAAGCTTTCCAAGGAGGTGGGACCTCCGGAAGGGCCGATTGTTGAGATCATGAGAAAGAAATGTTGGGACAAAAGCTTAAAAGATATGAATGTTTTGACCACTGAGTTTGGATTCCCAACAGGGGAATCTCTCAGTTTAAAAAACATATCAAAACTAGAAGAAAAACTGAAAGCAAAAGAACAAAAAATTAGAAGAAAAAATGAAGTGTCTGTAAGAAAATTAGAACTCATTAAAGGTCAAAAAGAATGTTTACAGATGTGGAAAACAGAAGCAGAGATACGAAATACAAAGTTAATGCAAAAACAACTACCCTTTTCATGCGAAAAGGTTGAAACGATTGAGAAGCCAGATTCACATAAACAAAGAACACAGAACTCGCAGATCTCTTCTTCTTTGTATCCACAGTTGGCGGCTCTGAAGCTGGATCCAGACCTTGACGGCAACCCACCTTACCACCCTTCAGCACCACCACCGTACAACTCTGCAACACCCAGCGAGAGCAGGCCGCAACCACAAGCAAGCTCAGAAACAGCCCGTCCTGAAATGCCTGGTCCATCACAAGACTCTACAACCAAACCCCCCTCTCCAATTGCACACAGACTACGTCAATCCAATAAAGAGACAGCCTTCAACATGCCTATGGTTGAAGTATCTGGACCAAAAGGCGCAACTTTGGTTTTTCTTCCTCTCAGGACATCACAGCCACTTCACAACATCTGCCCAAACCCCAAGGCAACAGACTGGCAAAGAATAGCTGGAGAATTCCCAAATGCTGATCTCCACTGCAAACATATCACCTGGGAAGACAAATCTAATGTCCATAGAGGAAAAGGACGTGGCCATCACAAAACTGGGATAGAAGACCTCGAAAGGATGTCTGTTTCCTGTGTGGCCAAAGTGGACATTGGAGACGCAATTGTCCCAAAAACACCTCATCAGACGCAATAAACATTCAGACTGACGTTGGTTGGGGGTTGTCTGAGAGGAATGGACTCCTGCTGACGAGCCGAACCAACTTGTGAAGAGGGAAGAAGGTACTGCATCACACTCACACACACATGCCAATCACATCAATTCACAATCCATAGAGAGCTCAGACAATACACATGCGATTGTTTTAACATATGTTTAGTACACATCTGATCAGTTTAAGGAGTTTCCAGAACAAATGCTTATCATCACAGAACAACACAGTGTATTCTTAGTCGATTTAGTTTTAGTCTAAGTCATGTATACTCTATTGGTTCATCAGGTCAAACATTTAAAGAGAACATTATTGTCCCACTCAAATGTGGGTCGTGTTCAAGCTTCAACCACGCATTTTTACTCTCTGAAGTCTGCCCTATTATCCTGATGGGCAGGGACTTAAAATGCAAATTGAGCCTTTGTCTAATCTCAACCCCAGAAGGTGTCAAAGTCTGCAGACTACCTGATCTGCCACCAAACTTTTCACACTCCTTTGTCTACCATACCCTGAACCTAAATTATGCATATCAATGGAAATTGAAACCATCAACCTTTTCTGAGTTTCTCTCAGCTAGGAAAACAATTTCCACAGCTGCAAAGATTTTATGGCACCAGAGGATCTGCATTGCACCTCTCATGTGTCACCCGGACCTGATGAGCCATACGAGGAATGTTGGTTAAAGATGAGATTTGAAGAACTCACACTGACACATATTTATTGGGCACGACACAAATGTGCTATATTAGTCTCCCTCACACCAGCTCAAAGTAACATGTAGACCATGGACCATTCGGTCCCATAGATCCCATAGATGACTGGGAAGATTTGGGCCCATTTATAATTGCATGTAAACGCGCGGCCAATTGGCATTAAACATCTGATCGATCCACCCTTTTGTTTTTTGTTTGTTCGTTTATTGTTTGTTTGTTGTTTGTTTGTTTGTTTGTTTGTTTGTTTGTTTGTTTGTTTGTTTTTACAGACACTGCAGTGCTACTCAAAACGTTTAACATCTGTTGTGCACACTCAGAGAATAATCCAGCTGGTACCTGAAAGCACTTCTATAACCTTTTTCTTGTTTGTCCATAGAATAAACTGAACCTATCACAGCCCTGCAACAAGTCCCTAAGACACTGTGGGCTTTTGATAAGTATGATGTTGGCCTCATCAAACATTTAGACCTGTTAGCATTACTCCAAAAATCAGATTTCAGACTTTGCAAGACTTGATATCCATTTAAACAAGAAGCCACTGATGGCATAACACCAGGTTTTTGACTCCCTGAGAGCAGCAGGAGTAATTGTTCCCTGTAACGACTCTCCAGTGCGCACGCCTTTGTTCCCTGTTAAGAAAATCAGAGACAAAGATCAACATACAGAATGCCGTTTTGTTCAGGATCTGCAAGCAGTAAATGCAGCAGTCCAACCCAGAGCTCCAAATATTCACCAGACCGTTAACTCAAACGATGAATGAAAAACATGAATGCATGACTTCTGTTTTGTTGCAGGCTATCAGGAACAAGCCACACCCTGTAGCTTATTTTACCTTAAAACTGGATCCTGTAGCTGCAGGCCTCCCAAGATGCCTTAAAGCCGTGGCTGTGGCTGAGAAGGCAGTTATGGTCTCCCAAGATATTGTGTGCTATTCTGATGTTACTGACACATGCTGTGTCTTTGATTTTACTTGAACAAAAAACTTCTAATTTCTCCACAGCACGATGGCTACGATACAACACAATCCTTCTAGAAATGTCTAACATCACTGTCAAAAGATGCAATGTTTTAAACCCTTCCACTCTTCTCCCCACACCAGACGATGGAGAACTAACTGTGTTGCTATCCTCCAACAGGTTTGCTCCCCAAAACCAGACCTACAAGAAACACATTTAACAAATCCTTATTTGGTTCTTTTTGTAGATGGATCTGCCTCACACAACCCACAAACTGGTCGCAACACAGGCGGCTTTGCGGTTGTTGCTAACTTTTGCTCCTGGAATCAACTGCTGTTTGTAAATGTCTTGCTAACCCTAACAACTCAAACCCTGTCTCTCTAGGAAATGCTAGATCTGATGCCGCTGCAAAACAAAATCGCACTCCAGCCACCTATCACTGATCCTTTATTGGTATTCCTTTCACTGATTCCTTTCACACACAGCAATGCAATCTTTCGCCACACCTCAGGAAAAGGCGCTGCGGACACGCTGTGGTGCCACACAAAAGGATGCAGTATAACGAGGACTCGATAATAAACCTTGCATACCTAAACACTTCTTTCCTCATTCTGCGAAATTGACACATAGGTTGGACCATGTGTCAAAAGGGGGAATGTTGGGTGCCATAACCCAACACTGGTTCACTAAAGGATCTTCAGTTCATGCGCAGAAGTTTTGTCAATTGTGTATGATTTGTGCAACGCAAAACGCAGGTAAAACCAACACAATCACACAGCTCACCCACCACCAGACAGACCATTCAAACACTTAATGATGGATTTCATAGAGCTATCACCTAGTGGTAGCAAAGGCTCTGTGAACAGAAATCACTCCCAGATGGGAAATACCAACTGAACAACGATAATGGCTCTCATTTTTCTGCAAATTCTGCAATAACCCAAATCAGTGAATTTCTTGCCATTGACCTCAGACAACATTGCACATATCACCCTGCCAGTGGGGATGCTGTCAAATGAGAGAATGGCTCTCTGAGATTAAAATTGGCTAAATGCTGTGACAAAACGGGACTGCCATGGACAAAAAGCTCTGCCGATTGTTCTAATGGATATGATAATCAGGAAAAGATCCAGAGTAAACATGAGTCCCTGTAAAATTCTTTTTTGGCAGACCTCTGTCCCTTGGAGTGGAGCCTGTAACCAGGCCACTCCCCTCCACTGGCCTATGTGAGGATGACATGCTACAATATTGCAAGAACTTATTCTGCACTCTCTCTAAAATCTCCCAGCAGGTGAAATCAGCCCTTCCACCACCAGCTTCCACATCCCTCCACGACTTCCAGCCTGACGACTGGTTGATGATAAAGGACCTCAGAAGGAAGCACTGGCACTCCAAACGGTGGCGAGGTCCATTCCGGGTGCTTCTGACGACACATACCGCTGTGAAGATCGCTGAGAGAACAACGTGGGTTCATGCCAGCCACTGCAGGAAGGTCCCGGAGCCAACAAATGATCCAAACCACCAACCCCGACAACCAGAGGACGACCGACGTGTGGACGAACGACGTGCAGATGAACAGACGCAAAGGAGGACGACATGAGGAATTAACTCCGTGAATTCATCCGACGCTGATTAGCCCACCTGACTGCACCGTGCATCACCTGACCCCTAGACTGCTCCCAACGCCAATGTTGGATGGTCTCTATTTCTAGGAGGTGGAACGACTGCAGCCCTAAACAAAATCAATGGACTAGTCTAGTTTGTTCTTTCCTTAGCAGACCGAACTGAAGCTGCTCCCACCTTAACGAACACTGAAATGTTTGCAACTAGAACAACATTTATCCAACACAGACTCACTCTCGACATCATACCAACTGAGGGAGGATGGATCTTTTTGCTCCTCTTCTTCTCCCTCTTCTTCTCCTAACAACTGCCATGAAAATACATTTTAAATCTATGTGAATTAATGTGCCAGATAATTGAGTTGTAATATGTTTTTTTTTTCTCTCTCTCTTTTCCTTTTTTTTTTTCTATTTTACTTTATTTTAACTCTTAAGTTTGTTTTTGTTAGTGATTAATTAATAATCAAAAGGGAGAATTGTAATTGTAATTTTAATGTCTTTGTTAAGAATTGCTTGAGGTGCCCCTCACAACAGACTTTCCAATCAACATATCAGTTAATCAGCATGTCTAGACATCAACAGACAACATCCTGCAGGATGCTTCAGGTGTCACCACCACCCCAGGGGGGTGAAGTAACAGTCCCCACAGACAACAAAAGGTGCCAACACCTAAGCCCCATTCCTTGCCCTCTGGGAGGCGGTCCTAAGGTATAATTATTCTGTATTCCCCTAGATTCGGGGTCTTTTCTGATCTACCCGCTCGGATCCAGATCGACCTTTTCTTTGCAAAGAAAATAAAACCTTGTCGGCCGGCAGAAGTCTCTATTTTATTATTCACCAGCAGCAACGGAAGAGAAAAACTTCCACGACAATCACCAATAATTAAGTGTTTTGATCGCCTTGTAAAGAAATGTATCTTGACCAAAACACAGCATCTCTTAGACCCCCTGCAATTTGCTTATCAAGCATCCAGAGGGGTGGATGACGCCATTGCGACTCTTTTACACTAAATTTATAGTCACCTTGAGAAGCCTAAGGCTCATGTTAAGATTTTATTTGCAGATTTTTCATCCGCTTTTAATACAATCAGGCCCAAAACGTTAGCAAACGTTTTATTGAGCGAATTTGCACTTGAAGCTGGCCTGATTGCTTGGATTGTGGATTTTCTTGGTAGAGCATCACTGTCTGAAAAAGCGATCACTTTCACTGGCTCCCCTCAGGGATGTGTCTTGTCTCCTCTTTTATTTATTTTATATACTAATTCATGTTCTAGCACCTTTCAAAATAGATTTTTTATGAAGTATGCAGATGATACTGCCTTGGTCAGTCTTTTATATGATGAGGAAAAGGAGCATGGTCCAGTTCTTGAATACTTTACTAAGTGGTGTGATAAGTCAAATCTTCTCCTCAATCCTTCAAAAACCAAGGAAATGTGTATAGATTTTAGAAAAGAGGAAGCCCCCAATACAGTACCTTTAATCAAGGGAAAGCCAATTCAACTTCAAGTCTCAGAGTTTAAATACTTAGGGATCATGCTTGACTGTAAGCTTATGTGGGAGAAGTGGACAGATCAAATCTGTACCAAGTCTCAACAAAGAATGTTCCACTTAAAGAAACTTCTGTCTTTTAATGTTGAAGGAGAATGCTTCAAATGTTTTACTGTGCTTTTATCGAAAGCATTCTTTCTTTTTGTATTACTTGCTGGTTTGGCAATGCCACAGAGGCACAGAAAAAGAGGGTTAGACAAATTATATCCGTATCCAGTAAGTTACTGGGCACTACTCTGCCATGTAGGGAAGACATCTACAGAGACAGAACAGGAAAAAAGGCAAGGAACATTATAGGTGACCAAAGGCACCCCCTTGCCCACTCTTTTAACCTCCTGCCTTCTGGGCGACGATATCGCTCCCCTCCATTTACTAAAAATTGAACAAAATTTTCCTTTGTGCCGCAGGCCATTAAATGCCTTAACACCAAATAGCCATAGTTAGTCACCTACAGCCTGCTCAGCTGGTCTAATCAGGTTAAAGTTGAGACTTAGGAAGTGTGATTATGATGATCTTACTTATTTTTACTGTTAATTACTTATGAAAGTTGTCTACTTGCTGTTTTATTTTTATTATTTTTTTATCTGTACTGTTCTTGATGAAATGCCAAATGTGTGATCTGCTGCAATTCAATTTCCTTATGGGACAAATAAACTACTACTACTACTACTATGTATTTACTCCATGATCAGATGTTGCTTTCATGGAAATGCACCATTTTACTCCATTTACCTTTCGATATACATTGATGTTAACAGACCATTGCTAAATATATGTCAACAAAAGATAATAAGGGCTTAGTTTTAGGGTTGAAAACATTTGCAAGAGTCACAACTTCAGTGCAAAAGCAAAAAACAAATCACAGTTGGATTATTCACTTCAACTTTTTGGCTTTTGAGAGCCTGCATACAAAAATCCTAATTAATCTCAACTGCGTTCAAACTACCGCAAAAAAATGGCTAGACAGAAGCAACTGACTAAAGAAGCAAAAGAATATATTTGTACAGTGAGGAAAGAGGGATACACAGAAAGAGAAATTGCAAAACATCTAAAGGTGTTTCACAAAGGAGTCCACTATACTCTAAAAAGACTAGAGGAACCTGGAAGTTATGATGATAGAAAAAGACCTGGACGAAAGAGAGTTCCTACAAAAGCAGAGGATAAACATAGCACTGTCACCAGTAAGAAAGATTGGCAAAATACAGCACCAAAAAAGGGAGGAAAATCATTATGACAAGGTCGAAACCCATATCTCTGACAACCGTGAAATGACATTTGAGAAAGGCTGGTCTGAAGGGTTGTGTATCTGCAAAAAAAAAAAAAACTACTTCGTCCACAGAACAAGAAAAAGGGATATGAGTGGGCAAAAGCTCACAAAAATTGGACTTACGGTGGCTAGAAACAAGTTTGCACTGTTTGGTTCAAAATGCAGAGTCTATGTCCACAGACAGACTGGTGAATGTCTGAAAGCACCATGTGTTACACCCACAATTCAGCATGGAGGTGGTAGTTCCATAGAATGGGGATGTTTTGCAGGTGATAGAGTAGGAGATTTGTTTGAAGTAAAGGGTATCATAAAGAAGGAACAGTACCACTCCATCCTCCTGCACCATGCTGTTCCATCTGGACTCAGACTTGTGGCTCATAAGTTTGTTATGCAGCAAGACAATGGCCCTCATTTATCAAGCTTGCGTACGGCAGAAAACTTAACTTACGACAATTTTGACGTGAGGATCAGCATTTATCAATCTGCATGTGAGCGTACGCTACGACCAAATCTCACGACAGGTCTGACATCGTGTACGCAAGTTTGAGTCAGTGTGGATCTGTGGTGCAGCAAATGTCTGTCTCAAAATAATTGATAAACAAACCTCAAACCTGTCATTAAGCACAATCAGACAGATTTCATTAAAGATTACGATGTAAATAAAACAAAATAAAATAAAATAAATTTGTTATGTCCTCGGTGAAAAGGCCTATTCAATAACTCTGCCCAGAAACACTGCCTCAGAGCAGGAGCGCTGGTTTAACATTGCGCGCACACGCGTCACTGTGGAGCGCTGCGTTTGACTCCTAGAAGGCAGGTGTCTCTGTCTTGGCCCAGCAGCGGGGACGTTGTTGTACACTCTGAAAGGGTGTGGGACATCATTTCAGCCAGTTCAGTTTTGCATAATGTTGCTCTGGCGAATGGAGTGCTGTTGGCTGTGCCGGTGCAACTTGAGGACTCGATGCCTGGAGAACAATAACGAGGAGAGACTCCACAAAGGTGCTGTACAGAGGAGACAGGACCTTATCGATGGATTCTGATGTAAAATATAAGTTTAGAAAGTGCTCTTGCTATTAAATCAGTAATAAAAATCCAATGGAAATCCATAAAAATATGCCTCAGGGGCAGCAACACACAGTTTAGTGACGTTAATAATTACTTTTGTTCAGCCTCTGTTAGACTCTCCAGTCTTCTCTACATTACAAAGATGCAACAAATTAATGTGTCAATAAGACACAGCGAAATACATAAAACAGACAGTAAACAATATGATCAAAAACACAGAATACAAGATTAAAATACAGCAAAGTAAAATTGAGGTACAAATACACCATAAATAAAAACAAATATAAAATACCAATCAAGAGCCAGGTAAAAGCTAGGGAGAAAAAGTGTGTTTTTAAAGAGGATTTAAAAACCTCTATCGACTCAGCTGAACCGATGTGGTGAGGCAGGCTGTTCCAGAGCCTTGGAGCAGCCGCTCCAAAGGCTCGGTCACCTTTACTCTTTAGGCGAGTCTTCGGGACGACCAATAGCCGCTGATTGGCAGATCTCAGTGCTCTAGCGGGGGCATGAATGTGTAAGAGCTCAGACAAATTCCCGGGGACCAGTCCATTAAGAGCTTTGAAAACAAACTATAAAATCTTAAAATTTATTCTAAAAGAGACTGGGAGCCAGTGGAGAGAAGCGAGCACAGGGGTTATATGTTCTCTTTTACGTTTCCCAGTAAGGAGGCGGGCAGCTGCATTTTGCACCAGCTGAAGTCGATGGAGCAGATTTTGATCCAAGCCAATATACAGGGAATTGCAGTAATCTAATCTTGAATTGATAAAAACATGTATAACAGTCTCTTTGAGAGAGGTAACCCTTTACCTTAGACAGAGTTCTCAGTTGATAAAAGCTATGTTTGACCACAGAGTTGACTTGCTTGTCGAGTTTAAAATTACTGTCAAAGGTCACGCCCAGATTCTTTACTGATGCACAGACATTCGGTGTGAGAGGGCCCAGATAATTGGCTGGGAGGTCAGATGGGTTACAGCCAAATAATAAAGCCTCCGTTTTGGTTTCATTCAAATGTAGGAAGTTTTCCGCCAACCAAGATTTAACTTCTAAAAAACAGTCCAGCAGCGTCTGTACAGAGTCATTATTTAAAAGTTTTAAGGGCAGGTAGATCTGTACGTCGCCGGCATAGCAGTGGAAAGAAAGTTTGTATTTACAGAAAATTGAGCCCAGCGGCAACATGTACAATAAAAATAAAATTGGTCCTAAAATTGAACCTTGGGGTACTCCAGAGGTGAGTGGGGCTGCAGTTGAAGCGAATTCCCCTAGCTGCACAGAAAAACTGCGTTCACTTAAATAGGACCGGAACCACAGGAGAGCAGGGCCTGTTATGCCTACCCACTGCTCTAGCCGATCTAAAAGGATATTATGATCTACAGTGTCGAACACAGCTGTTAAATCAAGGAGCACTAGGAGGGCAGGGTTACCTGAGTCAACAGTTAAAATCAGATCATTAAAAACTCTCAGAAGTGCTGATTCAGTGCTATGGCGCGGTTTGAAACCAGACTGAAAGGGTTCATGGATGTCATTTGTCATAAGGAATGATTGTAACTGATTAAAAACCACCTTTTCTAGGATTTTTGATAAAAACGGCAGTTTAGAGATTGGCCTGAAGTTAGACAAATCAGAAGGGTCCAGGTTTTTCTTTTTAATAAGAGGCTGTACAACTGCATGTTTAAAAGCAGCAGGGACAGACTCTGTGCTGAGGGAGTTATTAATCAGTAAAAGAATTGTAGAACCTACACTGCTGAATACTTCTTTAAAAAGACGAGAGGGGATGCTGTCAGAGGGACAGTTTGTGGGCCGCAGTTGTGAAACTACATCAGACAGTGAGGAGAGGGATATGGGCTCAAACTGATCAAAGACAGCGGTTAAAAAAGGGGCCGTGGGATCCAGACCAGAGGCTGGACCATGAGCAGCGGGAGAGGAGGTAGGTGGCCTGAGAGCAGAAATTTTATCAGTAAAATATTTCAAAAGATTTTCACAGACAGTTGGCGACGAATCAATAGGCGAGTTATCACATTATCACAGGATTGACAAGGGAGTTGAAAGTATTAAAAAGAACTTGGGGCTTGCGACAATTTGTGGAGACAAGATTCGAGAAATATTCCATTTTAGCTGTCCTAACAGCACTCTGATAGGCACACAGACTAGCATGGAGAGCTTGTTTAGAGACATGGAGCTTGCCTTTCTTCCACTTTCTCTCGGTGCACTGGCATGCACGTCAGAGAGTGCACGTGGAGTCATTTAGCCATGGTTCAGAAAGTGCTTTAGTGCGTTTTAGTCTAAAAGGGGCAACATTGTCCAAGATAGTCATGCAGGTAGAATTAAAAAGGGTTAAAAGCTCATCAGCGCAGGGAGTGACATTGTCATTCAGCATGTTAAACATCAGCCCAGATGTTTCAGAAAGATATAAGGCTGAGAACTGCGATGCAGTCTGGCGGCTGATTGTGCGCAGACGGTGCGAGGCAGTACGGGTATTCACATGTGGGCATGGGATGGATGCAGTGAATAGCACAGGCAGATGATCAGAGATACATGCTGTCTCATATATTTCATTGATACACATAGATATGCCACGGGATAGCACCAGATCTAGAGTATGACCTTTCTCATGAGTCGGGCCCTTGACAGACTGAACAAGGTCAAAAGCTACAAGGAGATTTAAAAAATCAGTGACTAGAGGTCTTGATTCACAACAAACATGGATATTAGAATCACCATAAATTAAAATATTGTCATATTTTACAGTAACTCCAGACAGAAATTCTGCAAAGTCACTAATAAACTCCTTGTTGAATTTGGGAGGGCGATAAATGACCACAAACAAAACGGGGGAGGATAGGTGTAACTCAAACATCTGCAGTTCAAAGCTGGAGAATGTATCCGAAGGAGGTGGATGACACTGAAAACTGGATTTAAACACGGAGGCAAGACCTCCACCTCTACCAGAGCTCAGAGGGGAGCTAAAGAACAGACAGTCAGGGAGAAGAAGCTCAGAGAATGGAGTGTCATCACCATCCTTGAGACAAGTCTCTGTCAAGAGCATAAAATCCAGGTTCTGTGTGGTGAAAAAATCATGCAATATAAATGTTTTGTTTGCCAGTGACCTAGTATTTAGTAAGGCAATATGTAAAGTGGACTCTACATCAGCTGATGGCGCTGCATGTTTCAGAGGCCGAAGCAAATTATGTGTAACGCCACCTCTATGGTTACTCAGTTTGGGGCGACTATGAAAACACCTATTTGTAACCCTAACCGGAATTGATGAGTTCGTGGCGGAGGTGGGCGCAACATCCAATTTACAGAGACTGTGTTCTTTATGAAAGGTTACATTGCTTTTAGTTTCTTTGCAGCCTGAAGTGGGTAATTGCGGAAAAGACCGATAGGGGGAGCTAGAGGGAGGAGTTGATGGCGCTTGATTGTTGTCAGTGGACAGCTGGGGCATGGGGAGGTCCACAGGTTAGCCTTGGTGAACTCAGACTGTCACAGGGTTACATCACATGTGCCAACATGAACGATAATTTTAGTGATGGTTGGTGGAAGGGAAGCTATGATGCTGGGAAGTTGGTCAAGGATATGGACAGTTGTGGCTCCAGGAATACAGTGGGTGATTGCATTGAAAAAACGGACATTCCTTACCAGCGAGTCCCCGATGATAAGCGCCGTTGGAGAAAAAAGAGGAGTTGGGGCAGGCGGCTGAACCAGGTGTTTGGAACCAAGCGCAGTGGAGGCTGGAGCTGGAGGGGGAGCAGAAGATGGAGTAGAGGAGTGATTTTGTGACTTTTTGTCCTCAGGAGACTGACTCAGTTCCAACAGGAGCTTAGACTGGGAGATATGTATGCGTGATGGCGGCAGGGATGGAGACAGGTGAACTGAGCAGGAGACAGGCGCTCTTTGTGGTGCTGGTGTGAACTGTGGCAATGAGCGGCGGGTCGGGCGCTGGGGTTTGGCTGGAGAAGAGACAGGAGATGAATTGTTATGACAGTGGGCTGGGAGCTCTTCAGCCAGGAATGATGGAAAGTCATGAAGGACGTCATATTTATTCTGCAGCTTGATGTCGCGGCTCGGTGGTACACGGGAGGAGCGCCTCCCTCCCCGTGAACCATCTCCGATCCAGATCCAAGGGGCTTGACGAGACGGAGTAGAGCTGACCGGGATCAACTTAGGTCTAGCCCCGAGGCGGACCCAGGAGTTATTGGGCTCCTCAGCCGGCAGAGAGTCCACGGCAACCGCAGGACCAACAGTGGGGGCAGCAGGCTCGGTGACCGGAGGAGAAGAGGTGGCCTCAGCAGCAGGACCGATGGCAGGGGCAGCAGGCTCAGTGACCGGAGGAGGAACAGAACCAGCGGTGGGGTCGGTGAGGACTGGACCAAGAATGAAGGTGTCCAAAAACTGCTCGGCCTCTTGGATCTTATACAGATTGGATATCCGATCCTCTAGTTCAGCGATCTTCGCAGTGAGACGGGAACAGCGGACACAGTCTGGTGGGGCGGTGAGTGGAGCCATGTATTACTGATGTGTGTATTTGTGAAACGGAAACAAAAGAGAGGGCCAGTACAGGGCTAAAAGTGCAGGAAAAAGGCGAGCAGTTGTAGCCATAGGTAGCTACTAGCAGGAGGGCACAGCACTTACATGCAGGGGCTCCTCTCGAAGCCCACAGTGTTGATTCAGGGTAGTAAGGTGTTCCACAGAAAGCACGTCAAAAAAGAAGAGGAAGGTGTTCTAGAAAAGATGGTTTGGCCCCTTCAGTCTCCAGACCTTTCCTCAATTGAGCTTGTGCGGGATGAATTGGATCAATCGGTCAGAAAAACGCATCCCACGAATCAGCAGTATCTTTTTAATGAATTTAAGAAAGCTTGGAATGCAATCCCTGGAACATACCTTAAAAAACTTGTGGAACAAATGCCTGGTATATGCCAAGCTGTTGTTAAAGCCACAGGAGGTTACATTAACCTCTGGAGTCTGGGGTATAATTGGCCGTTTTTGACTACTTTTGATTTTACCTTTATATTTCCTCTTAAAAACTGTTTACCTTGCCTTGCTTGGAATCTTTTTTTTCAGCACAACCTCACCTGTGTGAATTTACAGTTATTTTATCATTTTGACATACTGTATTAATACAATAGACCTAAATTCACACACAAAACATAAAATGCGAGTGGAAAACATTTTTTACTGTGAAAACCAAAAATATGTGTGACGAACCGTTTTCAAAATATAAATTGCACTGCAAATATAAATTGTAAACATCAAAACATATGCAAGATTTTAACAAATAACATAGTAATTTACCTCTATTTACATCAAAATGCAGGCAATGCCTCAGGCGTTTTTTGTACAACTATTTACAAAACAATGTATAGTCTCACTAATGTCACATTTTATTTATGCTACTACAAAAAAAACATGATGTAAATGATGCATGATGTAAAACATGATGTAAAAAACTTGTGTAGATCCTCCTCTATGTCAGTCCATTTGTAATTTTTCAATAATTCTTTGGGGGTTTTTTGCAGCATTTTTATTAGTGTTACTGCAGATTGTTATGACTGTGTCTATGGCAAAAAAAACAAACAAACATGGACCCCTGGTGGTCTCTGAGGGTGAAACCTGCTCACTGCTGCAGCTCTGTCAGCATCAGTCTCCCATGCAGAGCTCCGAGCGCATGTGTGGTTCTGCAGCCTTAGCAGCGTTGCTCACTCCTCAGTAAGGAAAGCCTGCTTCATGTTAGAGTCTCTAAACTCCAGAAGAAGTCGCTAAAAGTTGCTTTTTTTCTAAATAAGTCGTTAGGGGGTCTGAAAAGTCACTGAATCTAACAACAAAATCGTTAGGTTTGCAACTACGTGTTCCAGACTGCAGCCCTGCTGAGAGTCCCTCCCTTCCTTCTCCTGTTGCAGAAAGAGCGTAAGCGCCCGCCCCTTTTTCAATCAGTCGCCATATAATTTTGGATTGGTTGTTGTGGTGAAGTTTTCCACCAATAGGAGAGATGTTGTGGTGTTTTTTTTTCTTTTGGCAAGCCTTTTCCGCCTGTAAGCACTGTCGCTAGTGTCTGCATGCTGTGTTCTCCTGTCTCATACAGCGCGATCGAGTGCAGAACGTGATCAAAATAAGCAGAAAAAAAGTATGGCGGACATAATTTATCGTAACTCTGGTTTTATTTGGTCTATCAACACAATTTAAAAACTGGTATATAGTTTTAGGTCCTCACTTTTGAGATAGGTTGAAACTGAGATTCAACGAGAAAGAAAGCAAAGTCTGAGCAACAATAACTCAAATACCTAATAATTGTAGTCAAAATGTCTTCTGATGAGTTACTCTTTACACAACAGTCATGTTTATGGTGTTGCAAAGTATATATATGAAACTAGGATCCTTTTTTGTACAAATCTGATCTTGCTTCCAAACTTTTGGCCTGTAGTGTATGTAAACTGATTATTATAGTAATAACTATTACTGTTATTATTATTTTTTCTTTTTTCTTTTGAATACAGTTTTTTATTCTATTTGTTAATGACAAATAGTAAGAAAAAAAAGTGAGTTATGAATCAGTTTCATCCTCATAAAGAATGCCTTTGATAAAAAAAAAACTATTTTCTCAATTTTTGAGAGGTTGGTAGCAACTTTAAAAAAACACACACACTGTAGAACCCAGTGAATCCTGTCCCAAAAAGACTTTACAAGTTTAATCTCTATCTGTTTCAGTAAGCAAGTTTGGGGCTCCACACAGGCCACCTTATGCTGCAGATCACATGAGACCAGGTTGTTAATGACCAGAACTGTTCCTCTGTAGGACAACTGTGGTAACAGCCATCTCCATGGAGACTGACTCACTGTAGGACACAGCCTCTAGTGGACAGGAGAGGACCTGCAGTTATCACATATTGTTACTTTTATATGGACATGATTATTAAACAGTTCATTCTTCAAACTTGTGTCAAACTTCAACAAAGTGGGACCTAACTAATCACACATACAAACACACACACACACACACACACACACATACAGATACTACACTCACTGCTGTTTTTGTCTTGTGTCCCAGGGAGACGTGAGGAATGTGTTTACAACCTGCAGCAGCTCTGAGCAGAGATGCTATCGGCCTTCAATAATGACTCCTGCAGGCTGACCCGCTGCTGAGCGTGAGCTTTCAGTGGTCGGTAACTTCAGACGGGGAGGCAGAGGAGTGAATGTCAGAGACAACACGGTGGCAGACAGACAAGCTGTCTGGAGCCTGTGGTTATTGGCCTCATTGATTGAGACAGATGCTGAGCTGAGCTGAGGGACACTCTGCCAAATGGAGCTGGAATCAACACAGCAGCAGCAGATAGCGAGGAGGCTGGTTCTGTCAGCTCATCACTTCTGCTGCAGGTGTCCGATGTTCTCACCTTGTGATGTGACTTCGTCCCTGACAGCCAGGATCGATCCAACACAGGACAGCGGCGTGATGACTGATGAGCGGCATCCTCGTTTATTTCTGGACTGGACACACAGAATCTAGAGGTGTTAGGAAGGTTTGCCACAATGCCAACCACCACCAAAATGATAAGACATGCTCCAAACAAGTTTAAAGCACTATTTCCACAGGGTTCATGTAATTTTGGGGCCTCTGGTCGTTTGGAAAATACAAGATTAAACCAAAATGCACCACAGATAGTTTGGTGCATTAGAATCATAGAGGGGAAGTCTACTCAATATACTCAAATTTACTGACATTTTCGATTGAGAAGCCTGAGGTCCTGCACGACATCCTCCTCATCTCTGCAGGCAGCTTCATAATCTACAGTGTGCAGCCTGAAGGAAATTCATGAAAAGAAGAAGACCTCTGCATCCAGGAAAACTTTTTATCATACTGTAAAAAGTTTTATACCGTCATATAAAGTTTTATGAACAGAAGTGTAGTGGTCTTTGTAGAAGTGGGTAAGCTCTTAATTCATGTCTGAACTTTATATACAATCTGTCCTGCAATAGATTTACACCCCACACAAGAAACAGTGACATCCAAGACTTTCTCTGGACTCAAAAAATAATAATAAAATAATAATAATAATAATAAAAAAGAGCATAAAAAGTTTTTTTTTTTTCTGTAATTTTACTTACATATAGCCTTATCACAATCAACATTAATATTTTGAAGTTTGTTTGTTGTAATCTCGATGGTTGCAGATCACAAAAATAAATAAATAATGAAATAATAATAATAATAATAACCCCAACCACTGTCATGGTTCAGACTGCTGACTCCACATTTGTCCAGAAGACTATCATGCGTCCCCGTCCACAAGGAGGGTCAGCCACAGGGGGTCCCTGCTGAAAGTCTGGCAGTTCATAGAGTCTGTATGAAGCAGATTCATGAAAGCTGGGATGAGAGCAGCCTGGAGAGGACTGACAAAGAAGATTCAAGACCTTAGAGGAGCTTCACAAGGACTTGACTGAGTCTGGAGTCAGACCATCAAGAACCTCTACACACAGATTAGTCCAAAATTTGGATTGCAATTGTTCCTGCAGTCAAGACCCTCCTGACAACATCAGAGAGTCTCGCCTGGACTAAGAAGAAAAAGAAACTAGACTTGCTTAGTGGTCCAAAGTCCTGTTTTCAGATAAAAGTCAATGTAGCATCTCACTATGAAATCAAGGTCCAAAATCCAAGGTGCTTTAAGTCCACCACGACTTTAGTGGTTTGGGGCGCCAACAAATATTCTTTATAAGTGTTCGAAGCTGCAGATCAGGATCAGTTGCTTTGCTGAAGTTTGTGGTCTCCTCTAATGTGGAGTGCCCGCATCATATGTGTTAAACTGGACTGCAGACATCCTGAAATCCGCCTGGAAGTGATCCAGATAATTCTACAGCTACTTTATGAACACTCTCTGCTCTGGACCTGCTCTCAAAAGTGGACAGACTAAGATTTTCCTTTGAATGAGATATACAATATTATCTTCACTACTTCAAGCTTAATTTTTTGTTGTAGTGCAACATTTTTTAAGAAAAATGCATCAGACGGAGAGAGCAGAGTTTCTGTTTTTTTTTTTTTTTTTTTTTTAGATGATAGATCCAGGAAAGAGGAAGCAGAGTCAGCATGCAAAGACCTTTACATCCCTACTAAAGAAACTTTATTTACATCTCCACTGAAGAAACTTATTTTGCTATCCTAATAAAGACACTTTATTTACGTCCCCAATATTAAATTTTCCTTTGGGCATCAATAAAGTTCTTGTTCTTGTTCAATGAAGAAAGCAAAATGAAAAGCAGTTCAAAGTGAAACGGAAGAAAAAGTAGAAACAAAATTAAGTTTATGATATGAGTTTGTTTGTTTTTTGTGAGTGAGCTGCTGAGTCTGTTGATCTTTTCTTGAATCTTTATGTCTGCAATCAAGCTTATCTAAACAGCAGGCCTTCAAAGCTGTGATTGAAGTAACGGAAAGTCGACTTAACTCTCCTCTTCTCCTCCCAGGAGCCTTTGCACACCCCATCAGCCAATCAGCAGACCTGTTATGGAGCCGCATTGCTCTCTGCTCGGCTTCCCTCTCTCCCATCCTGAGAGCAGGGCTCTCATTTTTCACCTTGCTCAGGCATGAAGTGTGGAAAAAGAAATAAAGGTCTGCCAGCTCTGGAGAGGAAGAGATGTCAGCTGCAAGGGATCATGGGAGACTCTGTTCTCTTTATGGGGGTTTTTAATAGTGACATTTTATATGCGGCTGCACCTCATATACTCTCCATCGAGCAGAGCCTTTTAAAAGATATCAGGGAGCAAATGTGTTAAAGCTGATGACACAGAATTCATCATTGTGGCCTCAAAGGTCTGCTAATAAAACAGTAACGGCACTGTGATCCCAGGAGAGTAAATTACAGCATGTTGAGTGGATGGTACCATTATTACAGCCAGATACAGGCCAGAGAGAAAACACCTCTTCACTGGGGGGTTATATGAGACACAGCCAGAGCTCATCTTATTAACACATGATCATATAAGAGCAGCGAACTCTGGAAGGACACTTGATTGGAGCTTTGGATAAGGTCATTATGAGGATGCAGCAAGTATTCATGAAATAATGGGTCACAGTTCATTAAATGTAGAAATGCTTCACACTCGTGTCTCTATAAAGTCTCAGAATGAATACAACACTCACAGACATGTTCCTGACTGCTGCTTTCAAATAAAAAAGTAAAATTAATTTAATTTCTCTGAATAGACATGTTCTCAAATCAATTAATATATAAATGTTTCTTTTATGAATAAAAATGATCCTTGCTCAGTTATACTCCTGCCTGTAGGAGTATGACCTGAGGACATTACTTTCTTTACCTGAAACCTGCAAAGTTTGATCTGAAAGTTGGCTGATCGTTACAAGCCCCTTCTCTAAAACTGAATCAGATATTCGACTCAGTTGGACATGAATCACTTAGCTGGGACTTTAACTTTAATGGCGGAAAATCCTTTAATTCTGTTTCAAACAGTTGCGGCTGGTGAGAAAAATAGTAGGTTGGGCAGAAGGTTTGGAAACCAGAGCCCTGTAAGTGGGTGCGGGGGGTATTCTCTTTTTTGGTTTTCACATGTAAATGAAGCATTCTGGTGCATTCTGAGAAAATAATTGAGGAAACATATGATCTTAACCTACAAAGAAAATTGGGTTGGGGAAACTGGATTTCAACCTATTAACAGGGCATTATAGCTGACACACAGCCTACCTACATTCAAGGAACTGACGGTAGCATACTCTTACTCGTGTACATTCACCTGCATCTCAACAGGTTAGGCTACAGCAAAGAAGCACACAAAGACAACAGCAGAAAAATAGTAAAAAGCAGACCCACATTTATAACAAATCAGGCTGCATATCAATGTGATCAGCCAAAGGAAAACAATACATACATAACAAATTTATTAAACTTGATATTTTAGTGGAACTGAATTGAAACTGGGTGAACAAATACAGGGTTCCCACTCTTTTCTAGAAATCATTTTCAAGGACTTTTCCAGGACATTTTCACCCTACCTTAAAAGTTATTGATTTCTAACATTGTGGCATGAACATTGTCTGTTAGCTTTCTTTTTAGTCTGGCTTTTATGTAGTGTCTCACAATGATAAATTTATGGTTTAAATTAGTTTTTAATCTTTATATACTGTACTTTTCTACAAACAGATTTTGTTGATTAACCGTTTCAGTAGCCAAAATAATATTTTGCCAGCTTTATCATTTCTTTCTGTCACCATGATTTTGAATGAAAAAGCTTTAGTTTGTCCTGCAGAGTTCTCCTCTTAAACAGGACCTGCTTGATGGACAGCACAGCGCTCTCCAGTAAATCACTCTGTAGGGGGTTAGGGTTATAATTAGGGTTAGCAGCCAAGTGCAGAGTGAGGGGCGGACCAGCTCCCAGTAGAGCAGCTAGCTACGTCAGACACATATTGTAGCTATGTGTCCGTTTTTGACCAATCTGTTTATGAACGTGTTTATGTAATTCAAATTACGGATGCTTGGACACTGGTCCCAGGTGCCCCTTAAGGATTTTTTCTTCATTTGGCGAGGATAAGCTAACTTTTTAATGCAGAACTGTGATCTGAGCATACCTGAGAGTGCAGAATGCTTGAGCGCTGGCCCGTGGCGCCCCTAATGTTAATGTACAACTGTGATCTGAGCAAGCATGAGACAACAGACTCTCTGATTCTGCCCCGACGCTGGGTGGAGAGATCGCTAACGGACTGAAATACACATTTAATGGAATGATTAATATAATAACAGAATTTTCTCATTTTGATAATAATTTTCAGGTAGACAGCAGACATCCCTTTTTGCTCATGCTGGCTCATGCAGCTCAGGCGGGGTTCCGACTGCAGAGCCCTCATATACCGGCCACCACTGGTTTCAAAATAGAGAGTTTTAATGCTGATGTTAAGACCTGCTGAAAGTCTGATAGTCCACCCTGCTGCAACAGAGAGAGTCAAAGTCTAGAGAAAAAGATCAAATCCAAACAGGTATAATCCATAAAGACCTGTGGACCATGTAAAACATACAAATGAAATGTCATGTGGATTAACTAAAGGGAGCTAGTAACTAGGAGTTAAGATAGACCTAATTTCATTCCCTTATTCCTCTATCTGTAGGAGCTTAGAGTGGGTGCAGATTTCAAAAAGACCAGACTCAGAGGGTGAAATGATGAATTACAAAAAAACAGAAACCTGTCAACGTGCACAATGTTTGTTTTTGTCTTTTTGATGGTGACAAACATTCAAAACTGTGATTCCATCATTACTCATTGGAAAGAGTTCCTCTAGTATGGCAGAGTATTAGGCCAGATTTTTTTTTTTAACTTTGAGAATAAAGTCTTGAACTGAGGTGAATAAAGTCATAATTTTTGAAAATAAAATCATAATATTCTAACCTGTTGTTCTAGAGCAGTGGTTCTTAACCGGGGTTCTATCGAACCCTAGGGGTTCGGTGAGTCGGTCTCAGGGGTTCGGTGGAGCCTCCGCCACGGTAGCCTGGCTGGGCCATCCTGTTGCGT